GTCCCCACCCTCCCCCGACCAGCTCTTCTTCCCACCAGCCGCCCCTCTCCCAATCTTCCCCAGCCAGCCCTGCTGCCCCAGCCACCTCCTCCCCATCCCCCAGACCAGCTCTGCTTCCTGCCGGCCACCCCTTCCCCGATCTCCCCCGGCCGGCCCTGCTGCCCCCGACAAGTCCCCCCGACCAGCCCTGCTTCCCAGCCCCCCACTTCCTCCTAGCCAGCCTTGCTCCCCTCCCGGCCGGTTCCTCTCCCCTCCCTCCCCAGCCAGCCCTGCTGCCCCAGCCACCTCCTCCCCATCCCCCAGACCAGCTCTGCTTCCTGCCGGCCACCCCTTCCCCGATCTCCCCCGGCCGGCCCTGCTGCCCCCGACAAGTCCCCCCGACCAGCCCTGCTTCCCAGCCCCCCACTTCCTCCTAGCCAGCCTTGCTCCCCTCCCGGCCGGTTCCTCTCCCCTCCCTCATCAAGTGTGGCTGGGTTTTTTTTTAAGACTACCTGGTAACCGTAGCCACAGGGGGAAGGGCGGTTGCCCAAGCTGTTGTGTGTGTGGGGGCGGGGCAAGTCCTGGATAGCGCTTTGGGGCCGCAGGTGGCCAGCACATGACCTAGGGTGGGCAGGGCTGCCCCTGCAGCACAGCGCAGCAGCTTATTTTTTATTTTTACAGGTTGAGATTGGGCCCAATCTGGTCCAAAAGTACCTTTAAACCTTCTGGAGGAAAGGTTATCCCACGGAAAGTTTGGTTACGGTAGCTCTTATAGTACCTAAGTTATTAGCGCACAAACTTACAAACATTCTCCTTTATATATTAGATTAGCAAAGAACTGAATACTGTAATTAATGCACATGCATGTAGGCTTGGTGCTGTCCTGCAACAAGATTGTTCAGTGACAGATGTTTCCAAAACACTGACTAAACACAATAGGCCTATGTTCAGCTTGAAGAATAAATTCCAGCAATTATTTAGTAAGCTAGAAGGGTTTACAGCTGAGATAGAAACAGAGCGTAAACAGAGCATTCATTACCATGCTGTGTTAAAGAAGCCATGTGAAAATTATAATACAATTGCAAAAGTACTCGTTAAGAGTGGAATTCATGCTTGGTGAGGGCAATGTAGTTGAACTTGGAAAAATTAGATTTCTATTTTTTTTTACAATGTTCACAATACCAATGTTTATTTTTAAGCTTTTTATTATTATGGATTTAAATGTTCACAGTTGCACAAAATTATGTGTCTTTAGTATTTTTATATCTATGTAAATTTTCATATGTCAGGGAGATTATGGGGGATATAGATAATTATTTAATGACAGTAAATGTTGAGATTTAAAAAGTTGAAGCTTTATAACTATTAAAACACAAATTGTCAACATCACATCAAAATATACCAAATAAATATGCATCAATCAAATTCTGTGTTCTCACACAGCATTTTTCTTTGCTTCTCTATACATTTCTGTTATTGATGGAAATATTTTTTCATGGTTCTGTATATGTCTGGTGAAACTGACATTTACCAATAAAAATCTAATTCTTCCAAATCTAATTATAGTGAATCTGCTTTCAAGAGCACTTATGAAAGCAAGGTGCTGTAGGTAGAATAGTTTGAAGTAAGCATGACTCAAGTACTATCCATTTTTAGACAAAATTTGACAAACTCAAACAAGAAACATGAAATTACTCAATACTGTAAGGCTACGTCTATACTGCGCTCTCTTGCGCAATAAAATATGCAAATGAGGTGAAGCAGTGTTAATGAGCCACCATATTTGCATAAGGGGCTTTTGTGCAAAAAGGAGCCATCTACACAGTCCTTTTTGCGCAAAAACCCCCTCTTGTGCAAGAGCCGTTCTGCCTGAAAAAAAGCAGCAGAACAGCTCTTGTGCAAGTGGAGGTTTTTATGCAAAAATTCACCACTTCGCCTCATTTGCATATTTTATCGCGTAAGAGAGCGCAGTATAGACATAGCCTAAAAGTCTGAGACAAATATTCTCAGGCTATATCTACACTGCAGAGTTTTGTAGAAAAAATGGCCGATTTTCCAACAAAACTTGCAGAGAGTCCACACCTCAAGTGCATTTTTGTGCAAAAACATCAAAAGAACAGAGGGGGTTTTCCAACATAGGTATTCCTCATTCTACGAGGAAGAATGCCTTTTTGCGAAAGAGCTATTTTGCAAAAAGGTGTGTGTGGACCGGGAAGAGGGGTTTTTTGCACAAAAAGAGGAAAAAACACAGGTACCCTGCTGGTCTAGATGTAGCCTCAGAGTCCTTTTGGAACTACGGAGATGTAATTGCTGCATATGATGAGATTCTGTACAAAGGACATTATGGTACAATACTACACATCATGGGAGCTGAGTATGCAAAACATAACCAAAATGAAAAATCTAAGAACGAAGCCTGAGGTATCATATTCTGGACAGACATGAAAGCAACAAAAGTCATCTGCAAATGAGATTTACAACAATAAAAATGGATGCCAATGCAAGGAAGCCACATGAGATTTCTTAATTGCCTTTTTTCTGAGGTTGGAATAGGAACTATTGAAATTGAACGGGAAAGATTAATTCCTATTAGTGGGCAATTATTTTTTTTTAAATTATCTGTTGCATACTATATTAAGAAGCAATATAACACCATGTTGAGTCAATACAACCTTAACTTTGCTGTGTCAAAGGTAAAACTCACTGAAATCTTGTTGGTACACTACACTGAGAGAGTCTTTTAAAAAAAATAGGATTCATTATATTTTTCTATTCTACATAGCTGAAAGTTTCTTCTTCCGCAGAAATCTTATGCTATGTAATGATACCATGTGATTAAGATTAAGATAGAATAGTGTTTGTGAGCCAGATGAGATTAAACTGATTTTAAAGGCACATTTGATTTTTTTTCATCAGGAGTTGATTAAGGAAGCAAGAAGCTCTTCAATTTTGTTTTTAGGATCATAGCCTGAAGGACCACAGTAACTGCATTTAATTTCAGTGTGTTGGAATAAAGTTTGCTTCTGATAGCCCAGTCACACACAGACTGTTGGTTTCCATAATTTTTCAGGGCATCTCCTACCCTCGTTATATATGTGCCATAGTGCTATCCCCTAGAATAATGCAGAGAGGGGCACTGATGCAGGAATATGCTCAAAGGGTAGAGGAAAAGGTCACCAAATTACGGAATACTAAACAAAATCCCCATAGTGCCTAATGAAAGCTTGGAATAGGTGTGTTACTTTGTTGTCCATATTTCATAAAGGACCTATTTTTAATTTTAATATTAATTCCTATACTAACTAACAGGGCGCTTTATCAATTCTCAGAAACTTCATTCTGTACTGAAAGAGTGAATGATGTAATTTGGGACAGGGTAAATGCCACTTTTCATATATACCGAAGAAGTTGATTCCCTACTTTAAATGCAAAACTATTTAAGTATGGAGTTACTATTGATGCCTTCATAATAATATCCCCACATCACTCTGGGAACAAATTGTATTACATTTACATAGAATGCATTTCACCATGTATTTCAAAGGAATCTGCATGCCAGGGACAAGCACAGATTCAGTAAATAGTACCAAGCTAAGCTTTACATAGAAGGCCATGCTAAATGGCTCTATCCAGATTGAAGCCACATCTGTGCGACTCAAAAAAGCTTTGCTGGCTATTTGCAGACCTATATTAGGCACAGCTCTCTAACGACCTCCTGAGAGGGGCACATCTAACTGGTGTACTGCAAAAAATACCCAAAACTTTTAATAGCAAGGCCGTTGCATACTACCCAGATGTAGGATGCTTGGCAGTAAAGGAGACAATTAAATGGCATGTTTGTTGGATGTCATCCACAAACTGCACTCCGTGGTGACTTGAGTGTTATCAATATTCCCCTTTAGGAAAGGGGAAGTTGGCCTAATGAAGACTGAATCAGCAGGATACATTCATACCCTTTGCAGAGATCAGTGTACAAGAAGGCAGGAATGGGAAGCAGTGAATGAGCACTGGGAAGTACCTTTTCTCCATAGGCACATGAGGGGAGCACTTGTCCCTGGCAGAAAGTCAGCCTGGCACGTGGAGAGAAGGACTATTAATAACTTTTCTAAAGAGAGACTTCTCCTGGGCTTGGTGTCTCATCTAGACCACAGCAGATGTTGCGACTGTGAAAATATGCAACTTCTGCATTCTGGGGTTCCCTAGGAAGGGACAGGCTCAGCAACTGGGCTCAATTTAGGACCTGGAAGAGAGAAACAGAAGTCTCAGAAACACTGATTTTCTCAACATCAGTCAGCGACAAAAAAGCATCCTAATTGTAGCAGCCAAAGACAAATGGCCCTGGCAAGGTCTAAGCAATGCTGAAAAGAATGTGGTTAACAATTTCACACTCATCAATGTTTGATATGGAAGCAGAGACAAAAGCAGCATCAGACAGGCCCTGTAGCTGCCATGAGGACAGAAACAAGGGTTGTGGGGATGGATAAGCAGGTGGAGGCACATTTGCCCTGACATGGGGACTAGGAAGAGCTAATTAAGAGTGGATATATATAGGAGCAGCATAGAAGATAATTTTGCTGTGCAGTGGGAATAGAAATGCTCCAGAAACCCTCTTTAAGGTCAGCTGGGAATGATTAACAGGTGCTGGTGCTTGCCTTCTGGGAAGGGTGAAATTCATTCTGGAGTCTGCTTTGTACCTGAGTCAGCTCTGAGTCAGCAAGGCAGCTTTAGGACTGGGGGATTTCCAAGTCGCCAAGGCTGAAATCCCCTGGGATGTCAGACTAGACAGGGTGCTCTTCCTTCTGACCTTGCTGGGAGCCCCTGCTTCCTCTTTGTGCAGGAGCTCCAGCTGCCAATGTGGGTTATTTCTGGGCGTAGGGACAATTGTGAATGAGCAACATTTGAGGCACTTTTGTTGCCAAAATCCCCATTAGACCACACGAGTGCCAGGGCTCCTTGCTGCTGTTCAAGGGAAGAGTATTCATTCCTGAGATCTTCCTAATGATTTAAATATCATGAGGGATACCTGGACTGAGTGCAAAGCTCATTATTGTACCCCGCTCCCCAAGGGCATTCTCAGGAGACTCCCAGCCACTAAACTGCAGCAGAGGTTGCAGATTAACTCTGACCCCTATCCATCTGACCAGCACAGATACCACTGATGTGCACGACTCTTTTGGATAATCCCACAGGGATCCCAACCTGAAATTTAGTTCCCACTAGAAACAGAGAGTAAACATGCTGCTCTCCATAATAAATGTTCATAATATTCTACATTCATGTATTACTTATGGCACCATTGTTGTGCAATTGATCTCCCAAGAGATGGACCAAGGAACAGAGGTACTGGAGTGCAGGGTGTTTTCTTGTCCTCTCAAGATTTCTGCTGGAGGCACAAAGGTTACATTTCTTTAGAGCTGTGCTACCTTCACCTCACTAACAGCAGGTAGTTCAAAGCCTCTTATCTGCTTTCAGCTTCCCTTGAGTAGGTTCCCCTGTATAAAGCAATGATGGTGCTGCATGATGAGGGTGCAGTATAACCAGACGGTGTGGATAGGACATAAGTATTATGCGATGTTGCACAGCTGGGATGTGAGGAGCAATTACTCCCCTTCTTAGATGATTTTTCATCATTAATGAAAGTGGGGATTTAAATTTTTAAAAAAGAGGAAATGTGGTATATGAGTCCCTAGCAGTATGGTAATCTGGACTCTTTTAGTTTTTGTCGAGATAACTGACTTCCGCCAGTATTCCACAATTCCTGACCTGATGGCTGTGCTCAGTGTTTTGTGATCTCTGCTGCCCTGCAGGCAGGCGCTGCCCCCCCCCCCCCCTTTCAAAGCTCTGGGTTAGTATCTGACAGCTGAGTGAGTTGCTCTGTTTGGAACAAACAAAGAGCAAATAATTGGAATGCTACTGTTTTTCCTGCTAGCAGCAGAGTGGCAGGCAGACTGTTGCTGCAGAGGGAGGGCTGGAGACACTGCTGTGCTACTTTAACATCCTTAGCACGGAGAGCTCATAGAGCTAGGAAGGAATCCCAAGAAGTGCAGAGATCAGCTCTGCCTTTCCACAACACTGCACTGTGGGATGATTATCCACGTTGCTTTGCTCTCTCTATCGACAGGGTGCTAGCAATGTGGCCATGAAATGTTGACAATGGGAGGCAGAAAAAACAGTTTGACTGGTTTTCACTTTGGGCAACTTTTGCATGTCGACAGCACTTTCATTGCCAACCCTTCCCAGTGTAGACATAGCCTAAGTCTGAGACAAGAGAGAACAGATGGATACAGGTAGACCAACAGAGAAGTACAAGGAAACAATATTGATCAGCATGGCAGGCAGTGGTATCAGTATACCAACAAACCATCCATTGTCAAGTGTTTTTTTAGATATTGTAAAGAGGAGTTATATGGAGAGATGAGAAGTTGCAGAATGAGGTAGCTATGTGGGTGTTTACAGGGACTGCCACTGAAGTATGAGGGGTAGCATGGGGGAAAGCATAAAGGTGCTTATTTGCAGATGAAATTAATGAGTCTTCATTATTGTCTGGCGATGGTGCCTTGAAGTACTGTACCATACATTGGTTAAAAAAGGAGATGATAGGCAGACATGGATCCTCACTAATGACAGGCCCCCAGAAATAGTGTGTGACTCTCTTTGCCTTTGATGACCTGGAAACATTTTCCTTCCTTACCATTTCCAGTTAGCCAGGGTAGAGTCAAGACAGGACTGAGCCCTGATGGGTATGGAGCCCTCACCGGTCATGTCACACTTGGCTATTTCTCACCTTTCCTTTTCTGGGTCACTAATTCTCAGGGACTTATGGGGGAGATGAAGAGAGATTTCTTTCCTTCTCTTTGACTTTTCAAGTCCAGAGTGAGAAGCTGCTGCTATGATTGTCTAGCTTGATTCTTGCTGTGCTGCTATTTATACCTCTGATTCCTGCCTAGAGCAACCTACTGAGTTCTGAGCCATCTCTCCAAGGCCAGAGGCTTCCAGCACTGTCGCAAGGTGGGGGTGGATGGCAGAACCCCTGCGGATGGAGGCATACATTATTTTCATTAATGGATGCATGTGTCTCAGAACAGAAAAGTATTTTTAAACCTTATGTACTTTTTTTCTTCTTCTCTGTAGCTAATAATTAGCACTTAGATTTTCCCTAGGGCTCTTGTCCTTTTCAAAGTGCTTTACAAATATTAACTCCATCAGTCTTCATGAACTGCCATTTCACCTCCAGAATATTGGTGAAGGGCATTATCCTCAGGTAAAGAAAAGAGAAATTAAGACATATCCAGAGGGAAAGATCTACCCAAGGTCACAGAGCAGGTAAGCATCTGAGCTGGAGTTATAACTCATTGCCTGGCTTACTATCCTGTGCTCAGATTACTGAACATAACAACATTAAAGCTCAGACTGAAATGTTCAGACATACTGAGATTGGACACCTATATCAGGTTTAGGCACCTAACATATGATTTGACCTGATTTTTAGATGTACTGAGCATTTCCAGCTCCTGTTGCAATTCACAAGAGTTGTGTTCAGCACTTCTGAAAAGTGATCCAAAGCTCACTGAGTTTTCCCTTCAATATAGATGTAGGTGGCTATCATAGGACTGTGTGAACATTTTGCCTCAGTTCTGTTTGAGAAGGTTCTGCCTTCACATACAGCATTTTCTGATTTTGTTTTTCTGCCACTTTCCAAGTAACATATAGTTTGTCCCTCCACAAGACGGCAAGGATCTGGGAGAGTCACCGCCAGCTCTGGGGCACCTCTCCACCAGGCAACTACTGCAAGTCTGCAAGGACCACCCCACTGCATTACAACTGTTGTACAGGTCACTCATCAGAAGCACATGTGCTTTGCAGCTTATATGCTCAAGGAGTCACTCTTACAGGGAATATCCTCTGAGCTTCACCTGCTTCAGGGCTCATCAGCTGTTTCTGAAGCAGGCTTGCTGGAGTTCAGAGCCGTGGGTGAATAGCTGGGAAATGCCAGCTTGTGTGCAAACATGTTAGGCTTTTTTCCCCAAGAGGCAGGGATTTGGTTTGGAACATTCTTATGACCATCTAACAGTAATGTCTCAGTCCTCTCCCCTCATTCTCTTCCCTATCTCTGTGCTTGCACTCACACCCTATTCCTAGTGACAGATTCTTTATGAAAGCTCTGGCAGCCCGAGCAGTTGATGGCAGAGCCCTGAGCCTGGCTCCCTCTGTCTCCCTGGAGTCCCTGTGCAGACGTAGGTGAACGTCATTGCCTGCTCTAATTTTATCCATGTTTGATGGAGGAGACTTAACTGAGCAGCAGGGAGGCAGCTATTTTGGTTTTCTCTGTGGCTCTGGGTTATATAAAGCATTCTGCCATGACCTGCATTGCTTTGGAGCTCTCTCATTCTCCCTCTCTCAGACACAGTATGTCATCAGCTCAGATTTTTACACCCTTAGCTCTTGGAGGCTAAGATGTGTGTGCATACATGGAGACTGTTTCTTGCAGGTACGTCGTATGTATGTGCACATGGGGCTTGGACATCATTAGCATGTTGTGTGGAAAGCATATGAACATCTATCTAGGATGGTGCAGATGGTACTGGGTCCTGCCGTCAGAGCAGGGGACTGAACTAGATGACCTCTCGAGGTCCCTTTCAGTTCTCGTGTTCTATGATTTTATGATTTGCAGAAACACTCTGAGTCCTGTCCATTTCTTACATATGTGCTGTGTTTGTTTGTGTGTGTATATATATATATACATATATATATATATATATATAGCATGTGCTCGTGGAGTTTTAGATCTTTTAACTCCACCATATAGGAGAATGTGGCCACGTGACAAGCATAAATGCATGCATGTAAAACAGCACCTCCCACAGGTTGTCAGCAGGGTTTGAATCCAGGACATTTAGCACCAAAGCACACTATCACTTGAGCTAACAGAGTAACTCCATTAGTTTGCAGCCGTAGCAGGCTGTTATCTCTCTATGGACTAGCTGCTATACAGAAATTAGACAAATACAAGTGCATCTGTATGCATATTCTCATGAACCTTAGATCTTGTTCCTCAGCTATATACAAGCATGGGTGCTGCTCAGGTTCCATTCCTGGCACAATTCTGTCCCAGCCAGGGTTCCAGTAAGTTCCCTGGAAGAACCATCTGTTCCTTCACAGGATATTTAAAGGTACATGAGACAACATAATGTGGTCTGATTCCTCTTAAAGGGACAGCACCCATAGCATCACCTCCCCTTTTCTCTTACAACCAGGGCCAAATATGGGGCATGGGACAAACCCTTCACCACAAGCCCTACCCTGCCCCACTTCACCCTTCTCCAAGCCCCAACCCTGCTCTACCTGTGCCCCTCCTCCTCTTGTCCCTGCTCTGCTCCCTCCCACGCCCATTGCACCCCAAGCCCCCTCATCATGTGACGCAACCCTGGGCATTACCTGGGAGGGCCTGGCATGGGGCAGTAGCAACAGGGATCACCCCCTCCACACTCACTGTAGTGGTGGGAGCTAAAGCTACCTGGCAGCCTGCTCTGCTTCACCCTGCCACCCTCACCCAGTTGGGTTGATCCCCCAAGCAATGAAGGGCTCCGGGGAGTGGACTGGGGCCAAGAGCAGGGCACTTTGCTTTCTGCTGCTGTGGTGAAATGGAGTGACCCAGCTGGGGGATGGGCAGTGGAGCAGAGAAGTCTGCAGGGTAGCTCCACCTCCCACCCCTACAGTGAGTGTATAAGAGCAACCCCTGATGCTTTCCCACACCAGGTCTGCCCTCAGGTAATCCCCCACCATGGTCCATCCATAGGATGGTTGAGGCAGCAGCCATGGGGGGCCCCAAAGCTTTGCCTACAACTCAAAGGGAAATGTTGAAGAAAGAAGACACTTAGCTTATAATCCCTTTATGATACATCAAAGTAGGAACACCGGAAACCAAAATTCTATAAGAAGAAATGGCAGGTGGGGAAAGAAGAAATGAGATGAGATGAGCAGGAAGGGGAGATGAAGGGAAAAGTGATGACAGCAGATCAGAGACTGGGGAAAGGAAGAAGAGGACCAGAGTAAGGAGAAGGAAGGAAGAGCAAAAGAGATGGAAGCAAGACAGCATGATTTTTTCCTAAGCTGGAAGCCCACAATACATCCAGTCAGCATAGATGTAGTTTAACTTCTATATTTAGAGGGACAGAGACAATGGGGGCCAGGTGGAGTCATGTGGCCCCCAGAGGTGATGGGAGAGCTGCAGAGTCACATGCCCCAAGGGGCAGAAGTGACATGGTGGGGTCATGTGAGGTCACATGTTCCCTCAGATTTCTGCCTTCCATTTAGCACAGAGGTTTTCAAACTGTGCAGCCTGCTGGGACATGTCCTGCTGTTTCAACACATTCACCTACTGCCAGGAGCTGGCAGATTAGAAATGGGCAGGAGCCACCCAGCTCACTCAGGCCACTGGCTCTCCCCACTGTGGAAGCCAGAGCATTGGTTGGCTGCCTGCCCAGTGGCCATCCCTGTCCTCCTCTCTGGGCTAGACTGCCTCTGCACAGCCAGGAGCTCCAGGGCAGCAGTGAGTGAGCACCTCGGGGAGCATCTCATGGCAGCCAAGCTCTGCAGTCAGGAGCCAGCTCCAGGGTAATGGTCTCCTCCCACGGAGAGGCAAGAGCATGTTGGGGGCAGAGCTCAGAGCTGTGCCACCAGCCTACTTGGGAAGTGTCCAGCTGTGTAGAGGTAGTTCACCTCAGGGAACAGGGTAAGAAGGGTTGTTGGGCAGCCAGCCATTGCCCTGGCTCCCAAGACATGAAGGGACAGGGGCCTGAGTGGGCCAGGTGGCTCCCATTAGCTTCTAATCTGCCGGCTCCTGGCTGGAGGTGATGGTTGTTAAACAAGAGGGCACATTCCCCTTGGGGGCCCTTTGATAATGACCCCTACTCTTCCTTCTTTCCCCCCATTAAGTCCAGCTCTGCTCCTACCCTGATGCCACCTCTCATCTCAAATACTCCAGCACTTGTTTCCAACCCCAGGATGAGTAGCCTCCTCCTTGACAGAAGCAAAGCTCTAAGTCATGTGTTTCTCTTCTCTCATTTCTGAGCTCCCTTTCTCCTCGCCAAATCTTCCTTGAGCTCTAGCTCAGCCCTGTTCTCTGATTCTGCTGCTTCATCACTGTTGCTTCCTCCTGCATAGCTCCCTAGAAGACTCACATCTCTTTCCCAGGCTGCTCAGATCATCTTCTTCCCCCACCACACACAAACACAATTATACTCCCCTTCATCCTTCTTCTACCTCCTGACCTTCATTAGCCACTGTCACAGCTGAAATCCCCAACCTAGCACTTCGAGTGTAGGTAATGGGGTCTGGCTAGGAAAATAAAAACTTTGTCAAATCCCATCTCTGCAGTTCTCAGAGCCAAAAAAATGTTTTCCTGATTTCAGTTTCTCCTGAAATCCAGTAGCACTACCACCACCAAGTGTACCCTTTTTTCCAGGAAAGAAATCACTTGGAATCTCTTCCCTGAGGGCAAAACCCCTAACCTCCTTTCCCCAAGGAGTTGGAAAACAAACAAGAACACTCAGGCAGAGAACAATGAACCTGTGCTCTCTCTCCAATAATGTGTCTGCAGCCAAGCCCTTAAGTTTAAGGACACAAAAGATCAACCAATACTAGTTAACAGAACAAAAAAAAAGGAAACGCTTTTATTATTAAAACAAGACTATCGTTGCAAGCATAGTAAATGACTTGGTGTTAAAAAGCCATGAATTGAAACAAAACTCAAGGATTCTCCCTAGGATTAATTCTTGATTACAAGAGAAAGAAAAAAAGACAATTAACCATCTCAGACATAATTTCCAAACCCCGAATAAGGAAAACAATAAATCTGACGGACAACCTAAACTTTTTCCTACTCACACATTCTGATGAAGCCAGGGGATCTGTTTGAGGGAAGTTAATTTCTTCCCTTTGTGCCTGAAGAAGATTCCCGTCTCTCTCTAACAAAGGAGACTGCTTCCCCCGGTTTGAAATTCTTTAGCTGCATTTCATTGGCTCAATGCCCAAAGCCCCCTCCCTCAGGTGCAGAATAGCTTAAGGTTAGCTTAACCCTTTCCTCACTCTCCAGGTAAGTTAAGCTCTCCTTTGCAGCTCCCATTCGTGACAGCCATATATAGCACTTGCGTTCCTAGGTGCAGAACAAGATACACTCCTTCTGTAAGAGAAGGAACAGATTGTGGTCCAGCTCCAAGAAAAGCAAATGAAGCCTCTTCTGGGCACGTGCATTCTCAGAGTCTTTCTCTCACTTCCTGCTTCTCTGAATACCCTGTACTTTCTGTTCTCTAAACTCCCTAGCAATAATTATTTCATCCCTGGAAACAGTGTCTTGCCCCCAGTGTCTCTTTATACCCCCAACTCATTCCTACTCAGTCAAATCTGACTGACTTCAGTTCACCCTTTAACCCTGTCAGAGGAAAAGATTGACCTTTTGCAGATAAAAACAATTAATCTTCAGACTTTTGAACAGTCTTTGTGCGGATTTGGACAAATGACTTAATTTGGAAAAATAAAACCATTTGTATCTTGAGGCTAAGCAGACATCACTCCTAAACCAACCAGTAGCATAGATTATATGGACCAAGCACCAGCCATCTTATTCTGATCCACATTCCAATCTCAGACAGACATTCTGTTTATCAGTGCTTTTGCCGACAAAATACTTCCATCCCCAACGAGCAGGCTTTGCTTTTTTGACAGGAGAGCATCCCTGCCAAAAAAGCAGAGTTAACCATAGCAAAACTTTGTCATTCATGAGTGGGAGGGAGGATTAAACATCTGTGAATGACAAAAGTTTTGTCACTCAAGTTCGAGTGTAGACATACTCACAGTGATGCTACTGAACCCCTAGCCGTCTTTCAGCACAATGCCCAGCTACCCAATATACATCAATTAGAAGGGAAACATGACAGAACCCTGTGGAATATTTGGGGAAAATAAACAAATATTCAACATCACTTTCATGGATCCCTGAGGGAGAAAAGTGCAGAGCCACACAAACTCAACTCCCACCCTTACCGGTGTCTGTCAACAGGATTATTGCCTCAAGGCCAACAGTAGCAAACTGTTTTGCCAGGATGGCCTTCTTGTCCACAACCCGCTTTGAAAAAGGGAGAGTCTGAGGATAAATGGCAAGATTCACACCATTGTGTTGGTTATCACTTCAGTGAGAAATGCTGAAAGGAAAGGACAGTCCCATCAGTGGAACTTAGATCCCTCACTAAGATTTATAAGATGAGAAGGAGCAGGTCCATCTCACAGGCTATTCCTCAGTCATCTCCCATTACTTCAGAGGGCAAAAACTGCCAACAGCTCATAGGGCAGGACCCATGCCAGATAGACATAAGCCTCAGCTAAAGAAGACTGTGTTTACCTCCCCAACTCCAACATGGTTCTGACACTCTGGAGGCAGCCTATCCCCAAACCCTAAGGCTGCGTCTAGACTGGCAAGTTTTTCCGCAAAAGCAGCTGCTTTTGTGGAAAAACTTGCCAGCTGTCTACACTGGCCGCTTGAATTTCCGCAAGAACACTGACTTCCTACTGTCTGAAATCAGTGCTTCTTGCGGAAATACTATGCTGCTCCCGTTCGGGCAAAAGTCCTTTTGCGCAAAGCTTTTGTGCAAGAGGGCCAATGTAGACAGCTCAGATTTGTTTTGCGCAAAAAAGCCCCGATCGCGAAAATGGCGATCGGGGCTTTTTTGCAGAAAAGCGTGTCTGGCACGGACGCTTTTCCGCAAAAGCACTTTTTGCAGAAAAGCGTCCGTGCCAATCTAGACGCTCTTTTCCACAAATGCTTTTAACTGAAAACTTTTCCGTTAAAAGCACTTGCAGAAAATCATGCCAGTCTAGATGCAGCCTAAGAGAAAAGTATTCCCTTATATATGGGATGAAATGTCCCCCCTTCTATTAAGGAAATACATTCCACAACTCCCTCCTCATCCTCTTCTGATATGGATTTGATGCTGTAAATGCAGATGAGACTGAATTTAAGAAGACTTATCAGCAAAGTAATAGGAAAAGCCATGACCTTGAGGACACTGGGGGGTGAAGAGGAAACTATCTTTGCCTTCATCACACTTCTGAAAGAGGACTTCAAACATCTCTGTATTTCAGCTGGTCAGTGTCAGAGTGTGATTCCTGCTTCAGGGAATATAGCCTCCTCTCAGCATCTTCCTCTCTGACTTTACACCTTCTCACATGTTACTATCCCTCAAGTATACAGGTAGTTGCTGGATGCTTTCTGGCACACATTCATTACCTAGGAAACACAGAGGCTGCGTCTAGATTGGCATGATTTTCCGGAAATGCTTTTAATCGAAAAAAGCACCTTTTGCGGAAAAGCGTCTGTGGCCAATCTAGACGCGCTTTTCTGCAAAAAAGCCCCGATCGCCATTTTCGCGATTGGGGCTTTTTTGCGGAAAACAAATCTGAGCTGTGTACACTGGCCCTTTTGCGCAAAAGCTTTGCGCCAAAGGGACTTTTGCCTGAACAGAAGCAGAATAGTATTTCCGCAAGAAGCACTGATTTCTTACAGTAGGAAGTCAGTGTTCTTGCGGAAATTCAAGCGGCCAGTGTCGACAGCTGGCAAGTTTTTCTGGAAAAGTGGCTGATTTTCTGGAAAAACTGGCCAGTCTAGACACAGCCAGACAGCTTGTGGCTTGTCCATGAAAAGTAAATGGTAATTCCCACCACACCCTTTGCCTGCCTCGGGCTCTGGGATGAGGGTATCCCCAGACGTAAGCACTGTTCATGGTTGTGGTGCAGAAATCATCCCTCAAAAACCAGTGGGTTGAGCCTGCTACCCTTTGTCTGCCAAGTCAAACAGTGCTGACATAAAACACCTAATGATGACAACAGCGTAGGGGTGGGAAAGAACCTGACTTTCAGTTTGCCAGCCTCAACAGGTTGAGGTGCTGGGTATTCCCACCCTGTAGGCACCTGATGTACCATATGTGCCTCTAGACAGAGACTCTATGTTTTGTCCTTTCTCATCTAGCAGCTGTACGTGCACAGCTTGTCATGCCAGTATTTTCATTTTTAGGAAACCTCCTGGCTTGTGTGACCCACCCATGTGAGGGCATCATATCAGGAATTACCTGTAGGTGGGTCTCCCCAGCTTTATCAGACTGGGAAATCTCCCTGCTTTGTGTGTGTCACATAAAAGGGATTTCTCTACTGAACATCGCACAGCAAGAACCTGATGTGAGAAGAAAAAATAAACACCCTTAGCCCCAGTACACATAACCCTGCAAACAGGAAGCATATGCGTTGGAGGAGGATGGACAAAAGCTGTGCAGGAACAGCTACGGTAGCTGAGGATCATAGCTAGCCACCTCTCCCACAGCTAGCAACCTCAAAGGCTGAGGAGGGGACAATCATGGTTATCACAGGGGCCAATGTCTGCCCCAGCCTTTTTGCAAGGGCCAGGCCCTCTCAAAGGACTTAAAGCCAGGAGAGAAATGGGCCTTTTTGCTTCTTTCTGAAGAAAAAGCCCAGAGAGCTCTGTAAGTTTTAAGTTACTTCTTCCAGAACATGGGTCTTTTCAGACACGGTAGGGTCGGGAGGCCCTGTTCTGGCAGAGCCCGGGAGCCGCGGGTCTCCCTTGGCTTTGCGAGGGTGCGGCCTGGGCTCTCCCAACCCTGCGGGAGGGAGGTCCGGGTGGGGCGCAGGAGAGAGCTGACACGAGATCAGGAGATAGACGGGCCCAGGAATTGCCCAGCACGCCCCAGACAGAGCCCGCAGTTACGGAACAGACACACCCGCCATTCCGCACCCGTCTAATCACAACTACAAACAAACAAACAACAGCCGCTCCCGTTGTCATAGTGACTAGGCCCTACCCTCCACTAGCTGCTATGGTAACTAGGCTCCACCCCTCCTGTTCCCATAAGGACTGGGCCCTATCACCTCCCCTCCCCGCGACGCCGCGTCTGCGTCGCCCGCGAGCGCTGAGGGAGGAGGGAAAGGATGATGACGTCTCCCGGCCGTTGACATGGGAACTACGCACTCACGTCAACATCTTTGTATGTTTTCAACGTTCCGTCGTCTCCAGGGCAACGTCAGGCGGCCGGCTTGGCCCAGCAACAGCGCGAGGATTGGCCGGGGGGGCAAGCCCGCGCGGGGCCCTCTCTCTTGGAAATGCGGGGGTCCGTAGCAGATTGGGCGGGTGTTGTGGGGTTTGCTCCGGGCCCTCCAAGTGTCCGGGCCCTCGCCCTGGATCGGCCTTTCCTCTGCTAGGAGCAAAGAATGAAACAGCCCCCCAACCCTGAACTCCATCAGGATTCGACCTCGCGGTCTCCTGTTCATGATGTGCACCTATATGTGCCTGTACATTGAGCGTTGTTGGCCATGCACCTGCGTGTGTGTGTGTGGGGGGGGGGAGAGTTGTGCTCATGCGTGCCTGCATGTTGAGCGGGGTTGGTCATGTACCTGTGTGCATGCTGGTGCATGGAGTGTGTTGCACAACATGCGTGCATGCATGTAAATGCTCCTGCGCTTATGCCATGTGTGTCTGTGCAAATGACCAGTAGGTTCGTGTGTGGCCATGCACATGATCATTTCCTAGCAAGGAAGCAATACCATTTTTCTCAAAAACAGTTGGCAGTGGAGCTATCTAGTGCAGCAAAGGCTATTCTCTTTCTCCAAGCTGCCTTCTCCTAACTTGGCTCCATTCATACACATCCCTTTTTTTTCTGATTCAGCCCACACTTCCTCGCAGAAGCAGCTTTTCATTATTTCCTTTACCCCTCATGTAAAAATAATCATGTTTGTTTCTAGCAGGAGGCATGCATATATAGTACCCCAGTCCAGAGGATTAACAACATATGGGGCAGGTCAAGTTTTAGGGGTTGTGTTTCCTGCTTGTGTGTCTCCCACTCTGGAAATATGTAGGTTCCCCTTTCTACAGCTGGGCCTAGGGATGGACACTGACTTGTGTTTAATTAAGCCTGAAAGGCAGCCCACAAAGGTGGGAAGGAAGAGGCTGGCATCTCTGCCACTGGGTTAGCTCTCAGCTAGAGGGCGGAGTGGCAGAACAGGTTTAACTTGGCACATCATGCATAAGACTTGGCCTGGATTTTTATATTAAATTGTCCTTCATCTGAAATTAAAGTTGGAACATCCAGCACATGGGAGAGCCAGAGAACAACACATGTGTGAATCCTACTATGGTAGTTCCTACCCCAGGAAGCAGTCAGCAGGCAGGGGATGTATATTTAGACAATGCAAACAGGAAGTTGGTTTTGCCATCCACTTGGTAAGAACCCTCTTCTCTCTTGACTTGTCTTCCAATTAGCTCCTATCTTTTTATTCCAATCTCCAGTTCATATCCCTCTGCTTCTACTCCCAACCTGCATCAGACAGAATGGATAATCGAATTTAATGCATCAAGTCCTGTGCTGGGTTTGTCACTCCACAGCATTGACTGTGGGACATCTGGTAGAAGCAGGATTTTTCTGCTGAAAGGAATTGCTGAATCCCCATTTACTGAAAATCATCAGAGCAAACAAACAATTTAGGAGGATAGGTGAGACACTTTGGGGGGTTGCTTGAGGTGTCTGGGGTGAATCAGTACCACTGCTTGCTGTACAGGGAGCTTCGCAGGACAAATGCTCCCCACTGTCAGCTGCTGGCAACCCAGATTGCTCTGGGCTCTGTGAGCCCTGCGTTGTTCTGACAAGCTAGCAGTTCACACCTAACTTTGTTAGATTTGAGTGCCCACTCTTTTAACTTCTGGATCCTGCACTATAGACTGTTTTGCTGTCTCCATGGGAGTAGCATGCCTCAGTTCACTGATTTCACCTCAGTTCAAGTCTCTCCTGAGCAAAAGTCACTTATGGTAAAACCAAAGTGAAGTTTATTTAACTGAGTTTAAGACTGAGATTCAAATAAAAGCAAGTAACAGGATTTGAGAACAAGGTTATAGGTAAAAGAAAAGCATAAAAATGCAATATAGCGCTTATACTTATTAGCCAATTAATATGGTATTTTTCATCCAATGGTTAAGTCTTACTTGCTTGTCCAGTTCAGAAATCTGGAATCCACCTTTCATGAGACTCCCTTGCTGTCAGAGTCCCTCCAACTAATGGATAACAACTTGTGCAATTTCATCTGATTTTACAGGCATAGGCTGTTGTCTCTTAAGCCAGTGGCCACCCTTCTTTGGAGAGCTTTTCTGGGGCTCATTTATCTTTGCAAATGCTCAGATCTCCACCAGGCCAGACATCACAAATTGCTTTCTTGATAAATGTCCATTGTTCCCAGCACTAATTGAGTTAGGCCTGAGAGCCCACCTCACCTTAAGCAACAAAGTCGCACTTCAACCCTTTTGCAACACAATACAGGCAGTCCCCGAGTTACGCGGATCCGACATATGTTGGATCCGCAGTTACGAACGGGGCTTTTCTCGCCCCGGAGGACGGGAGCGGTGGGACGCCCAGATGCGCCGCGGTCCGCCGCCCCCGTCCTCTGGGGCGAGAAACGCTGCTCCCCGTCTCCCTGGTCTGCAGGGAGACAGGGAGCAAAGCCTTGGAGCACGCCTGCAGCGGGACAGCCCAGGCGCGCTTGAGCTGTCCCCCTGCGGGCGTGCTCCGCGGCTTTGCTCCCCGTCTCCCGACCAGCAGACCAGGGAGATGGGGAGCAAAGCCTGGGAGCACGCCCGCAATGGGACAGCCGCTTTAAAAGATAAGAAAAAAAATAAAGTAATTGGACAGTCAAGAAGG